GGGGGGAGCTGCTGCAGGGGCTGCCGGGAGATGGGGGCGGAGCCGGCTATATTGGGCCAGCACCAAGACGACATCATTCCCAGCTGGGGCTTAGGAGACAGCAGCCGGCCCCATCCAGGCGTGACGCACTTGCAAACAAACAAGCCACTCGGCTTCAGGTCTCTCTGTCGCTTTTCTGTAAACAGGCTCAATGATCGATGGTTACTCATCCCGGAGGAAATCGGCACTTCAAGAACTTAGATTCTCCTCTGGACTTAAAGCCTCCCCCTTCTCCAGATCCCAGCTCTAACCCCAGGTCCTCAAAAGAAGCTGCTCTGACTTACCTGAATATCAGAACTGCCTTGCATAGCCTCTCATGGCATTCTTCATCACTCTTGTCAAAGCTACTAATTAGCATTTATTTGATTTTTTTAATTGACATTCACCTCCTCCACTAGAATGTAAATTCCATAGGGCAGAGATTGTGTCTTTTTTCTCACTGGAGTATTAGGTGGGGTTCAAAGAGAACCATTGGATGATCAAATAATGAACAGATGCAAAAAGGTTTCTCTTATTGACAGTTTTGACACATTTGAGGAGGTGGAGTTAAAGGGTAAAAAGAAAACAAAGAAAGGAAATTCCCTGGATTCAAGGTTTTTCTTCCCAAAGTGATCCTGAATAGACTGCTTCTACCTCTAAATGATTCCTGGGTTCAGGCCCCATGGAAAATTTAGAGAGCCTTCCAGAATGGGCTCCTGCTTGTTGTCATCCAGGCCAATCCATCAAGCATTAATTGAGCACCTTCTACACTGTAGACGCTGCCAGGTTGTAAAAAGAAGAATGTGGCCCAATCCCTGCCTCCCCGGAGCTCCAACTTGATAAAATACCAGTCCATTAATACAGCCCACTGGGAAACCCCCAAGCTTTGGAAACAGACCTGGGTTTGCAACCTGGCTCTATAGTGTGACTTGGGGAAACCTCTAAGGACTCAGTTCTGTGTCCTTACAGGTAACACCAGGGCTGTTTGAAAGTCAGGTGAGGCGTGGTTCGTAGTAGGTCTTAGTACAAATCCTCTCTGGCATCATGATTGGCCCAAACAGTAATGGTTATGTGAGACCAGAAGAGTGTTTTTAGACTAGGTGACCCAGAAATGCTTCACCGAAGAGAAGGGCTTGAGCCAGATATGAGAAAAGAGGGTGGCGTGCATTTGTCCAGTTTTCCTGGCTGCCCACAGTCGGAGCCTCCTGCCTACATTTGGGGAATTCCCATTGTGTAGGCCTTGATGGGTGGTCTGCCACAAAGCACAGATGCTTGCACTCCCAGACTTCTTGGCTCCAAGGGTGCAGGTAAAAGACACAATCTCTGCCAATCGGAAGCTCCCACTGGGACTTTGAATCTAGAGCAAGTCACAGAGAAGCTAGGGCAGTTGAGAATTCATTTCTGCAAAGGTGGTGGTGGCGGCAGAGCCAGCGGCGTCCTCTAGTGTCTAGAGGAGGAAATGTTAGTCTCAGTGCCTAGAGGAGGAAATGTTAGTCTCAGTGCCTAGGTGGGCGGGGGCCTCACTGCAGTGGGTAGAGGGGTCATGGGTCAAGCAGGCTATCCTGTGCCCTGACCTTGACTATGGTGCTGGCTGTCCAGCTTCCTTTGGTGCCTACCTGTTTGCAGAGCCTTATTTAGTTCTGTGTGCTACCCAGCGTGTGTGTGTGTGTGTGTGTGTGTGTGTGTGTGTGTGTGTGTGTGTGTGTAATTTGCCAGAGTTAGTTTCTGCTTTTTACAACAGGAGTCCTGACTGATCTTGGTATAAGAGGAAGGAATAGGTTAGGTTAGGTCACTCCAAAATCTTCTAAATCTCTATCTGCTGGCTTCTTTTATCTCCACAGATATTTGTCTAGCACCTACATGTATGTGACATTAAGAATAGGAATACAAAGAGGTTTAAGTTCCAGTCCCTGTACTCAAGGAGATGCAAATCTAATTGGGACATAGAGAGCTGGGGGAAATTATATGAAATGCATCTAACAAATGGCTAATTTCCTTTGTTCACAAAGAATTCCAACAAATTAATAAGAAAAGACAAAAAAAAATGCCATTTCTTAAATGGGCAAAGGGCACAGGCAAAACACATCACAGAAAATACTGGCTTTTAAATGTGTGAAAAGATACTCAATCTCATTTATAACAGGAGAATTATGAAGAAAAACAAACAAAATACTGTTTCACTTATCAAATGATTGACAAAGATAAAAAAGTTTAACACATTGTATGGGCAAGGCTGTGGGCACAGGCATTCTCGTATATACTCATAGAGGGAGGGTAATTTGGTGTATTTCTAAAGAGAGCAATACTATGAGGTATACCAAAATTAAAGGTGTGTAGTCTTTGACCAGCAATTCCAATTCTAATAGTTTTGGTTGTGCATATGTACAAAAAAGTATGTACAAGGGTTGCAGCATTCTTTTCAATAGCAAAGAACTGGAATCAACCTAAATACCCATTAACAGCAAACTGGTTAAATAAGTGATGGAATAGAATACTATATTGTCACCAGAAAGAATTAAGTACATTTACATGCACTGATATGGACCATCTTCTAGGTTTACTGTTAAGTGAAAAAAAAAAAGGTATAGAACAAAATGTATCTAACTGTGTATACAGACATTAGTATATATGTAGATGTGTCTGGAAGGAAACACTAACAAAAAGTCAACAGTGGTGGCTGCCAAAGGGGAACCAATGAAGAAGACATTTTTCACTGTATAGACTTATTTTTGTTGTTTGTAAATCTCTCTGGTAGTTTTTGAATTCTGAAGCATGTGCACATAATAACTATACAAATATATACAGAATTAAAAAAAATCTATTTGGGGAAATAGGATATTGGTAAGCAGCTAAGTGCTACCATACAAGGAAGTCCATGCCAAGTACCAAATGAGTGATAGAAACACAGAAAGTGCCAGGAGAATCTAGAGGAGGGAGAGCTGCCCAGGGTTGGGTGGGTTCTGGGTAACCATGACCTAAGCTGGAAGGAATGGCAACATTGAGACAAGCAGGGGGAGGTGACATTCCAGAAGGAGGGAATGGTGAGAACGCAGCTTTGGAAGCAGGCGTGTTCCTGACACATCAGAAACGAGGGAATTAATGTTTTGAGTGGATTCCATGACTGGGAATCTGTCTTTTGCACCTGTCTGCAAAAGGTAATTGTAGCCTTGCTTTAGAAGTGTCAAGGATGAAAGCATTCCCTTGCACTGAGGGAGTGCCCAGGAGCCCGGCTGGGTGGCACTCCCAGCTGCCCTATGGAGGTCTGGATTGCCACCTCCCCACACCCATAACTACTCCAACCTAGGCCTGCTGATGCCTGCTAGCAGAGTTTCCAGCTGGATGGCTTCTCAGGGTCTGAGAGGAGATGGCCCTACAGCTGCCCAGGGTGAGCTGGCTGGTACAGTAGACAGAAGGGGAGCCTGGCAGCCTCTCTGGATGCCCAGCCATTGAAGATTCACCTCCCTCTTGGCCTTGCCTCCTGGCCTCTGGAAAGGCCTCACCTCCTATGAGATATCGGGGGTGGGAGGAGGGCTTTCCAGAGGGCACTTACGGCCTCAAAACTTGGCCCCAAAGATGCCTCTGCCCTCGTTCAGCCCAGATGCTGGGTCCCTGCACCGCCCCAACACATGCCTTCCACCACAATTCCTGGGCAGGGAAGCATCAAGGGGAGTGTTACCGCCCTCCCTGCCTTCAAGGCACCAGGGTCACTGTCTGGGCTTTGGGGACCTGGCAGGCCCAGAAGAGGTGCTGTCTGGAGGGGTACCTAGACCTGCTGTGGGCAGGAGGCGAGGTCATCTCAGGAAAGGGAGGGCATCAGCATAAGTTTTGGCCCAGGCTGACCTGGGTTTAAATCTTTATTCTTCCCGTTGCTAGCTGAGTAACTTTGGCCTCAGTCGCCACATCTGTAAAATAGGCATTCATTTCACAAGTCTATTCAACAAATATTGAGTATCTAATATATGTTGCACAACATTCTGGTGCTGAGAGGAGGGTAAGGCCTTGTTCCCATGAAGCTTCCAGTCCAGTGGGTATAACTGTATTTACGTCAGGATTAAACAAGATAATATGGATACAGGGGCTAGTTCATAGTAGATGCTCAATAAATGGCAGCCGTTTCTTGGAGTTTGAAGGAGTCCCAACTTAACCCCTCTTCCTTTCCCAAGTTTGAAACCAGTTGAGAGAGAGAACGACACAGGAATTGAATAGAGATTTGTAATTCAGTCCATTTAGTGGAAAAATAAAATGGATGTGAGGATATAGCTGAGCTATTCAGCCAAAATGGGCTTTTAAATACTCCCTCTGAATTAAATTACCCCCTTCCCACCACCACCGCACACACATATACACACAACTGCAGGCCTCTCTCTTCCCTGGCCAGAGCTTCCCCTGTGAGCTTAAATCCTCCAATTAAAGTTGAGAATACTTGCTCTCTCTGGAGGAAACTACTATGCTGGGCATTCCTATTTTCTTCTCTAAATCCCCCACCATCCTGTTGCTTCCACTCCATCCTCTACTTACTACAAAGTAATTATTGGGACAAGTGTGACAGGGACAGGTGATGGGTCCCAGATGGGGAAGGGCAGGAGTCACTCCATTTCCAGTGCTGGTACATGTTTTTTTTGCCTGTTTTCTCTGAGATCCATTCCTCCACCTTCCCTGCCCTGCTCTGTATCTCCCAGGTTGCACCCTTCTTTCCCTAGGCCCTTTGTCAACTAGCTTCTGTCTAGGTTCAGCCAACGAGAGCTTCTGACTGGAGATTGAGGGTGGGAGAGAGAAGGCAAGGTATTTCTCTCCTTCTCGCTAAATCAGGGGGCACCTCAGACAGTGGTGTGTCCACTTCATGGCTCTGCACCCTGCCAAATGTCCCTCCC